CCCACCTGGGATGGGCAGGACTAGTTTCAGTTCTGTCATTCAGATATACTCTGACTTGAGAGATTTTTTCATCAGCAAACCTGGCTAGAGTGAGAGCTCTTGGGCTTCTCTTGAAGGGCTATGGCTGGGGTTCGATAGAAATCCTGCTCCCTCTGCTGGCCGCTGATTAGCATTTACCAAATCCCAAGGAACATGAGGCCAAAAGTGCTTTGGAGCTAGTCCTGGGGTCAGGATCTCTCTTCCCTGCACAAGCTGTCTCACCTTGCTCAAATTATTTTAACACTATGAGTCTCCATTTGTGTACCTCTATAATATTAATTTTAAAAGCTACATTTTAAAACTATTTGATTCGTAAACTGCCACAGAAAAGGTAATAAAAGCTATCGTCATAACATTATAAGCAGCTAAATGAGATATAAATTAATGTAAGCCAGAGAGGAGCTGGACCCTCAGGGAAGTCAGCAGAAGGAATAAAGACATCAGAAATGTAGCTCAAGGTAAAGCTGAAGAAGGCCAGGCCTCAAGATAAAGATGTAAAGGCCAGACCTATGTGCCTCCAAGGGATAAGCAGTAACTTGGAATTATACTATAATTAGCGCCACCTGCCCCAAGAAGTTCAGCTAGGACATCACCCAGGTTGATAACTAGAGCATCTGGACTCATTCTTTCCCCAAAATGCCTTTGTTATTTTCATGTACCCTTGCTACATGACCTGCTTCCCAATTGGAGCAATATTAGCTAAGCAGCTATACTTGTACTCCTATAGGTTGATTGTGGTTTGACTCATGTTGTACCCACATTCTGACTTTGCTGTATAAATGACCCCTGATAAAGGGCCTCAGTAGCAACCTACTGCCAGACTCCTCTTGTCTCTCAGGAGCTAATTCTATTCCCTGGTAAATCTTTCCTATACTTAACCTCCTTTGCCTTTGTAATTCATTCTTCTATTTCAGGGGACACGATTTCAGCGTATCTGACATCTAGCAAGTTAAGAGTTATATATGCCCCTATATCAATAAGACACATTGGGTGAAGAAAGCTATCCTGTTTATCAAGTTTATCTAGGTTATAAAATATGACATTCAACATTATTTCTAAGATTCTTTGGATCTTAGAAAACATGTGTGTGCACGGTGTCAATGTAAGGATCAGTTGTTATGCAGTATAGAATAGTAATATAAATTTGTAAAGTTCTTAAAAAAATTCTTATGTGTACTGTAGCTGGGAATGGTGGTGCACACCTGTAATCCCAGGATTTGTGAGGCTGAGGCTGGAGAATTGCCATGAGTTCAAGGCCAGCCTGGGCTATGCAGTCAGTTCAAGTCCAACCTGAAGTACATAGCAAAAAACCTCTCTTAAACAAACAAACAGCAAACAAAGAAAAAAATTAAATGAGAAATGCATAGCTTAAGTTACAGGTGCTAAAGAGACCCTTTATGAAATTCTATATCCATTCCTAATGCTACAAGAGTCAATGGATTTTTTCCCTTCACATGAAAAACATCTGTGTGTGCATGCATCTGTGTGTGTGTGTGTGTATGCTATATGTAGGAGAGATAGATAAACAGATACAGTATTATAATGAAGAAATAATAGAAGTATTCCCACTAAGGTGAAGAAGAAGACAACAATGTCTGCTATCTCCATTATTATTTAACATCATACTTGAGGCATTTATCAGTGTACTCATGCAAGGAAAAATATAGAGGTATAAGAATGGGAAAAGAAGTAAAACTCTCCATTTGCAGGTGATATGATACTGTATATCCGAAAAACCCAACAGTCAATGATAACATTAATATGAGCAAAAAAATTCAGTGTTAGGAAGTTACAAAATACACAAAAATTGGTTGTGTCTGTGTAAATGATAACTCTTAAAAAGATAAAGAGATAACTCATTTACAGTAACAACAAAAATACTTGGAAATAAACAATAAGAAATGTGCAAAATCCAATGAGGAAAAATTTAAAACACTCCTGAAGACAAATGAAAATGTTTCTCAGTACTGGATAACATAATCTGATACCACATAAAGATATGAGGAGAGTTAACTCTATTAAATGCCAATATATAATCCTCTACAGTTAAAACAGTATATAGGGCTGGGGATATAGCTCAGTGGCACAAGCATCTGCCTGGCAAGTGCAAGTTTATGAGTCTGATTCTCGGTACCAAAAGTAAAATAAAATAAAACAGTATATAAATAGATGGACAGGTCTGGGTTGAAAGTTCAGAAATAGAAACAAAAAAATGTACTGTATGAATGAGATGCCATCTCAAATCATTGGGGAAAACAAACATTGATAAATGGTGTCAGGACACCTGCAGAGCCATTTGGAAAAGATAACTTGAATTCTTAACACTTATCATACTCCAGGAAAGACTCAGAAAGAAAAAAATGAGCCAATAAGTAGTAGAAAAAACTTATCTATAACATTGCTGTGGGGAAACCCTTTTCAATTATACTAATTGTGTAGATACAATAGCAGAAAACAATATTTTTGACATTAATAAAAGGAAGCTTTACTGGGGATATAGGTCAGCAGCACAGCACTTGCCTGGTAAGCACAAGGTCCTAAGTTTGATTCCTGGTACCAAAAAAAAAAAAAAAAAAAAAGAAGAAGCTTTGCAGAAAATGTGTCATAAGCAAAGTCAAAAAATAAATGACAATTGGTAGAAATATAATTGTAACATGTCGCAGATAAAGAAACCCCTTAATTCAGAAAACACTCAAAAATGGAGAAAACACAAAGATTTGTATACACCCAAACACACGTGTTTCTTAAACATAAGAAATTTATTTATAGCAAGAGAAATGCAAATTAAATCTATAATACAAAGTTTTTTTCATTTAACCAAACATTTGAAAAGGTTCATGATAAATCACTGGGAAAAAAATATCAAGATTACCATTTCTCACTTTCTGATTGGTATGCATTCAGAAAATACAATTTTTTTCTGGGACAAATTGAGGGAAATTTGAATTTGCCTCGATATTAGATAGTATGGTTGTTATACGGAAGTTGCATTTCTTGGGTGTGATTATGAAGTTGTAGATATATAAGCATGGGCTATCCTTAAGCAATACATGCTATAATAATTATCTTCCACATTCTTCACTATCTTTCTTTTTGTGTGTGTGTGGATCCCGGGAATCAACCTCAGGACCTTGCACTTTGCCAGGCAGGCACTTGTACCGCTGAGCTATATCCCCAGCTCCTCAACATTCTTGAGGATTTTATGGCAGAAGAGATTTCTGTTCTTTAGCCCACCTGGATCCTGAAAGCAGCTTTCTGGCAAAGGTTTCCATCTCAATCTAGTTTCTTTTTGTTTTCCTCTGTTTTGCATGGACATACTAATCAACAGTTATTTTCCACAAACTACTAACTTAATCTATATGACTTTGTTTCTATTGCCTGTTTTTTTCCCTTGTGGCTTTTAATCATTTAGTCTGCCTTTTAGAATGGCTAAGTTCTTACACTGAATGCTGGCATTATATATAGAAAACTGGACAGGCTCTAGGTACCATCATGCCTGCAATTTATTTTTAAAAATGCTTCAAAAATTAATAATGAAACAAGTGTAGAGACATGTTAACAACTCGCATATCTAGGTGGATGGTATCTGGGTTTGAAGTGTTTAAAAACAAAAACTTGGGAGAACATTCTTGGTTCTTCCATCTGAGTTATTGATTCTAAGTTTTTAAGTTAACTTGGTGAGTTTAACATTTATTGAGCACCTACCATGTATTATGTCCTTGTTCAAGTGCTGGGGAGTGGCGATGAACTAGGCAATTAGATAATTCTCCGTGAGTCTCCTCATTCACAAAACAGAGGTAGAGTAAGAACACCCACGTCACAGCACACTGACTAGAGCAGTGCAAGTACCTAACCAATCACAGCCAATGTAACTCATCAGTTCTGGCCACCGTTGATCTAATTTTATAAATTTGATGGTTTTGGTTTTTCAGCTTTAAACAAAAATATGAGATCTTCTGTTTTATGCATTGTTCCTAATCCATTTTCTGATGCTATTACTCATCTTACTTTTGTTAATATTATAGGGCATTTGAAGTCATAGGAGAAATATAAACCAAAGCAAATATTAAATTAAAATGGCTAGGGGTATATTTAAAAAAATAAAGTCTAAAGTTTACATCCATATGGACAGATTTTATTGTTAATTATGTCCTGGTCTAAGATTGGTTATAAAGTAATAGCAAGTAAAGAAAGGTTTCTGAATTTATTTTTAAAATACTAGATGTTAAACTAATTAAAAATTTGAAAACACAGGGAATACTTTAGTACTTCCCTCCAAACTTGATTCTTATAGACACCATTTATACCTAACGTTATTTTATCCATGACTCAGAGCGCTCTGTCCTCCCATTCTGCTCCACGCACTAATGCCATGAGACACTAATGGCTTGGTCTGAGAAATGCAGGGTTCATTTTGAGCCCATTCCATACAATTTATCATTAAGTTCTAAGCTGTCCCATTTGGTGTACACTATGATCATAGTTTGTAACTTACTATGCAGAGAATTATTTTAATGCAATAGAATTAAAAAAACAAACTAAAGTTTATTTATCTAACTTGCAAAGTGTTATGGTTTGTGTCTGGGTGTCCCCCTAAAGCCTCATGCAGCCATGGGGCAGGCTTTTTGAGTTTGATTGATTATGGGTGTGAGAGCTACACCCGACCTGGGGTGGATAGTTTGCATATGTAAGGGAGAGGAAGAGGGTGCTTCTGGCCATTTCCTCCCTTGTGTGTGTTTGTTGCTTTGCTGTGTTCTGCCGCCATGAGCTGTAGCCCTCTGCCATGTGCCACTCTGCCTTGTAACCTGCCAAGTATGGACTGAAACCTCCACAAACTGTAAACGAAATAAACCTTTCCTTCCTTAATTTTGGGCGTCAAGTATTTTGTCCCAGCAATGAAAAAAAAGTAACCAAGACACAAAGGTAATTCTTAAAAAATGACCAAGTAATGTAAAATCATGTGATATTTTGACATTAAGTTTATTTTAAAATAATAATACAATATTTCTACTTCCTATTTTCCTTGTATACATTTGGAGAAGACTAGAACAAATACAAGTTAGCATTAAAATCAATCATCTCATATACCGTAATAATTATATTGCATTTCTAGACAATCTTTACTATTGTTACTAATTTACTAGTACTATAGCAAATCTGTGACTATGATAATTAAATCTTAAATTACTTACAACAAAGTAAATTTCATTATACATTCAGAGTAGGATTAAATAAATAAATACAGAAATAACTTAATATTGTGTGGAGCACATACTGTGTGCCAGGTTTTAGGAACACAAAAATAAATAAAAAATGGTCCCTGCCATTAAAAGTTCACAGTCTAAAGGGGAAAGTGAAAACAATAAAACAATCAATTTAACACAGTGTGACAATTTTGAGAATGGTGTGAACAAAGAACACAAAAATCTCAAGATCACTTAATTCTTAACTGTTGCTAAGGGCTCGTCCAGGTGATGAATTTGCAATATTCCGGAGAAGAAAATAATGTGTTGCACACTCTGGATGATGACCCCCACCTCGCCATATGTAGCTTTCCCGCCCTATTCTTCTTTTCCCTCTCTTTGAAAGCTCTTTGTGCTCTTGAGCCCCAGCAGATGCAGATTTGAGGTTGATAATCCTCTATCTTCTCAGCCCTTGAATAACCCTGATTCCTGCCATCAGTTCTTATTCCCTAAGAATTGGCCTTCGAGTGGTCAGTAGCTCAGACTTATGCTGGGAACAAGTTGTGATAGTAAGGAGTAAGGAGGTTGGACAAAGTCAGTCCATATTCACTAAGATAATAGATAACACTATATGTGTTCACATGCTGTTGTACACAGGTACTGTTCAGTAAGACACTCTATGCGTTTGATTTTCCCCATACTTTCAAAATTTCAAACTGCATTCTTAGTATCTCTTACTAAATAAGATTAGCAGAATATCTTCTTTTCTAATTATATTTTTAATAAGAGGGCATGGGCAGAAGAGAATGCTGTCGGGTCTAGAAATTAGACTTTATGACCAGTAGAAGGAACTGGGGTAGAAAACAGGAAGAGATGGGATAGCAGTCTTCAAATATCTGAATGTAATGATAGAAAAAAGTTCTAGAGAACAGAACCAGGACTAGCATGCAAATTCAGAGTGAGGTGGTCTTCAGTTCAATGAGGAAGAATTTCAAATGATCAGAGTAAGTACAGAGTACAGCAGGACTGTTTTGTGACATAACAGAGATCCTATTACTAGAGGTGCTTAAACTCGGGGTGGCTGACTTTAGTGTTTAACAAGGGAAGTTACTGAATAGCCTGGAAGCTGGGTAGCCTGACTTTCAAGACCTCTTCCAAATTTAAGAAGAGAGAAGATAATAAATCACTATCTGGGATTCTTATTTTTTGTGCTACAGAGCATAGTTTAGGAATATCCCATACAAACTAAAATCTTTCATAGACATTTTTTGCTATGGTGCTGTCAAGGGTCAGAATGATAATTTGGGAGAGGGAGTACTGAATCACCTGCTTTTATGAAAAAGGGAAAAGTTGAAATAAAGGTTTCTGGCAAAAACTGCAACAAAGTCAAACTGTAACAAAGTCAAGTGTTAAGGTTTCCCTAGAATAATTTTTTAATATGGAGACAAGGAAAAGGAACTGAAAGTCCTTTGTTTGGTATCTACAAGGAGAACACTAGATGGTGCTATCAGACTGTCAAAAAAATTTACTAAGCAAGCCACCCTGTGGCTCCTCTGAAGGTAAGATGTTTTGGAAACTTCCCATGAATTTTCAGCCCCAAAGAATCATCTTAGGTTTGTGGGAAAGTAATAAGAACATTAATCTGATGAACTTTAATCTTAAAATTGGATTACTTTTAAACGAAATCACAAGTTTAATATATTTTAAAATAATTTCACTGTTTGACAGTACAGTCTGACTCTACTTAAATGGAAATTAGTTTCTGAAATGTGAATTTATAATTAATTTAAACAAATTCATATTCTTCTCACTTAGCTAGTCCTTGCAAATCTAGTTACATCTATCCTTGATAGATCTTAAGAGATCATTTTTTCAAGTTGCTTATGAAATTTTAGAAGTTATCTGTAGCAGAAAACAGTACACTCTATTGTTTAAATTACCACAATATACTAACACAAATACATAAAACAATACATTTGGAAATCATTCTATCAGTATATTATTTCTTATAAAATAGCATTTCATGATTTTTCACAAGACAGTAAAAAACATTTTTACTAAAGTGCAAAATAAATATAAAGCTTTACTTTTATATTTTCTACTGTTGTAAGTGTTCAGTATTAAAAAGGCAGAGAAAACGGATAAAAATACATGTTTTTGCACCCTGAGTCATTTTAGTTTTAAACTCTTAAGAGTTACAAGAACTGTTTATGATTTTTTTCACTTATCTTTCCAGTTCTGCTTCGAAAATTTCCCCCCACGTATCTGCATCCATTGGGCACATAATTTTTTCTGGTAGGCTAATGAGAGAACAGATGTTGCTGTACCTACCACTGAGCCATTCGTGTTTCACTTTACTCTTCTGGTAATTCCTCAGCAGTATGTCCTGAAAGGAATAAAGCATCATCGTTGAAAAACAATGTAGTAGCTTGTGGGTTAGTGAATTTGTTTAAAACTAGAGAAGCTGACCTACAGGACTAAGAGGAAGATCATATACCTATATCAATGAATATGTTAATATGTATATATTATACAATATTAATGAATTGATGTGCATATATGTACACGTGTATATATAGAGAATAAGCCCCCGAATTTCCTGGAGGTTTTGGATAAGCTGGAGTGATAAGAAATAGCTGCTTTCACTTAACAGAGGAACACTTCTGAAGGTAGGATTTGAAAAATATAGGACAGGTGTGAGATAATATGGACAGTGTTTAGCAGAGAAAGACTAATATCTTTTAGTCATTTCCCAAAGTCAACATATTCTGCATATGTAATCGTACCATCTCCTAAGTAAACACGCTTTGTATGTTTTTCAGCGTATCTAGTCTTCCCTCCTCCAAAGTCAACATACTTTGTATGTTGCATAGGATGTTATTCTGCGTATGTAACCCTCCCTCCTCCAAGCAGAAGTTAAGAGTTGCCTCAAAACTGCTAACATGACATTGTCAAAAACACTGTAAACTGGAAAGGTTGAACTTACCCTCCAGGAATACCCATTCTGTAGATCATTATCTATTTCTCTTTGGCACACAGTTCTGAGAGTCAAGCAGTGAGGCTTCCATAAGGAGTCACTGTCTTTTATTGTAGAATTCCAGCTCCTGCATGTCAGTGAAGCTCTGCACAAACTCTGAATGTCTAGCTGACTGAAAATTTTTAAAGTGACTTCTAGAGGCAGCAGTTCAACGAAGTTATTTTGACTCTCATTTTTTTCCTGCTCAGTATCCACAGAGTTCGATTCTATGTCACAAAATCTCAATTTACTATTCCTCTTGGAATTTTTCTGCATAGTTTGATGCTTTAGTGAATTATCCTCATCTGTAACCTAAAAGGCAAAATTTAAATACATTCAATTTCTTTACATCAGACAGTAAATCTTACTCTCCATCATACATTTTTGGGCATGATTTGTTTTGTTTTTTGAGACAAGGTCTTGCTATGTAGTTTAGGTTGGCCTTGAACTCTCTTATGTAGCCCAGGCTGGCCTCAAACTCACACCAATCCTCTTGCCTCAGCCTCCTGAGTGGTGGGATTATACATGTGCACCACTATGCCCAGCAATGGGCATGATTTGTAGAGTTTCCCAATCTATAAAATAGGACAAATGCTGCTTCTCTTTTGTGTGTTCTTATAAAGATTGACAGGGATAATTATAAAACATGTAGCCTCACTTCTGAATTGCACATGGGGGTGTTCTTTTTAAACATTTTAAGGAAATGGATTTGTTTCTAAATGTTTTTTTTTTGTTCCTAAAGAAAATTATCTAAAATAGGGAAATGATTCTCCATGTTAGACCCATATTTATTTATTTATTTATTTTTTTGGTTTTTCTCTGGTACCAGGAACCAAACTCACGACCTTGTGCTTGCCAGGCAGGCGCTTTGCCGCTGAGCTAAATCCCCAGCCCCTTAGACCCATATTTATTGAGTTTCGTGATAATGACTACTATAAGAACACATTCAAGTATTTACTGCAAGTACTTTTCAAAATGTGCATGGGTCAGTAAGATTAAACTTCTTGCTATTAAGTTCTTCATCTGTAATTTGTGACTCAGTCATAAACCTGGTGGTCTTTTAGTAATAAGAATTGTGTAACTAATTGTACCTAATGGGTAGGTACTCACATTCGCACAAATAGTACCTGAAATGGACAAAAGGATGAGATTCCAGTTGGCACAAAGTCTCAAATATGCAATTTCAATTCCCTTTTAAGGTTAGTATTTTAGACACCGTCCCTTGAAGCTATCCCCTATACATAGTTAAACATGAGCTAAAGATAACAGTTGCTGAGACCATCACACAAGTAACAAGTATAAACAATGTAACTTAGTTATAACATGTGAGTAATGCTTTAAAGTCCAGTTTCAGCTAATTTACATAAGGCACATTGGTAGAGGCTTCTTTTGAGAGCAGGGTATCAGGAATGGAATTCAGGAACTCACTCTTGCCAGGCAGGTGCTGCACCACTGAGCTAAACCCCCAGCCATGGTGTAGGCTTCTGAATGAATGTAACCATAGCTGGGTACATCACCACCCTTGAACTACTTCTGCAGAGATAGACAGTTTGTATTTACTTAAAATCAGTTTGTTGCATTTTTCTCTTCCCTTTAAAATGAGGGGATGATTCGCAACAAAGGGACTTGGGATACAACTAATTTTTTTTTTTTTTTTTTTTTTATCAGCTTATAACAGTTCCCTTTTCTACAAGTGGTCCTCGGTTGTTTCTGGACTTGCCGAGATCACAGTGGCTAAGTTAGTTGTGGTAGTTTTATAGTAACTGTAACGTCTGGGTTCAGCAGAGGACTTCCTCTTGAGAGTCTGGGGAAAGAAAGCAAATTGGTAAACACAAGAAAGTAAGTCAAGCGCAAGTTTTTGCCACACCCATTTCTCCTCCCACCAGCCTTACGGAGCAAAGCAAACCATCAGGCTCTTGAATGTCATAATAGACTACTAACGCACTGCAGTTAAAGATTTGCTACTTCTCCCACGATCTCACTGGAGAATAAAATATAATGGTTCTTCGCGTCAAAAGAATTCCACAGAAGGTGTATGAAAGCTTTTGATTTTCAGTGGAGATGCGGTGGGCAGGTTCTTAAAATCTTACTAGAAATTTTTCAAGTTCGGTTTCGACCAGATGTCTGGAAAACTGCTCCCCTTCTGCCCCTTCTCCTTTGTGTACCAAATTTTGCTCAACTGTCCTTCCAGCAAGGTGAGAGCTCCCCTCCCTTTCAAGTGTCACTGGATCGAGGCGTGGCAGGGGCGGGCGCTGCTCGGCTAGACTAGATCCGAGAGTCTCCCACTCCGTCCGGACCCCGTCGGTAGCGGTAAGGACCCCGTGTCCCATCCAGGCCACCTTTCTAGCGTGGTCTGCCGCTACCCAAGCCCCAAGAACTCCAGCACTGACAAGAGAACAAGAACCACCGCAGGCAGTGTCACGCGGTTCCAGGAAGCTGAGGGAGGCTGTGCCTGCACCGGGGCCGCCCCCGCCCCTGGCGTAGAGGATAATGCAGTAGGGGAAGACCTTCCTACTTACGTACTGAGTCGGTCTGGCTTCTCCTCCTACCATTCAAATTCTCCGGGATTCCAGTCCTTCCCCATAATCCTTTACGTCCCACCCCCCCTCTGGCTCCGCCCCGGTGACGCGTAGCACAGGCGCAGAGGGGGGCGCAGTGCCTTCTGGGATTGGTAGTTTTCTTAAGGTATTTTAGCTTAGAGAAGACGGGTAGGAAGGCATCAAGGACTACAAGATCCGGCGTCCTATGAAGCCGGTGGGCGGAGAGAAGGGTTGGATGTGGGGAGAAGCCGGGCTTGCAAACAGAAATTTGGAGGCTGTCTGACGGGGAATCCCCGAACACGTCACTGGCTCAGGTGGCGGGCGGGACTTCGAAAACAGTGACTGGGCCCGCAGTCCGGGCAGGACTGCAGTCGCGCGAGCCGAGTTTGGCTCCCTCTCTCCCCGTGTCTCCTAGGAGCGTGGGCATCTGTGGAAGGCGGAAGCGACTGCGGGGGCCGTCTTCTCAAGAAAGGGCCTAATTTCGCCTGCCATGTCTGGGGGCTTCGAGCTGCAGCCGCAGGACGGCGGTCCGCGGGTGGCCCTGGCGCCCGGGGAGACGGTGATCGGCCGCGGGCCGTTGCTGGGAGTAAGTGTGGGAGGGGGCTGTGCGGACTCGGCGGTCCTGCAAGGTCGTTGCTGGGTCCGAGGCCCTTCGGTGGAACCCGGAGCTGTTTCCCAGCGGCAGGTCCTGCCTGCCTGGATTTTAGAAGTTTGGGGCAGCACGTTTTACAGTCAACTTCGGTCAGCGCACAAACATTTCTTTACGTTGCCTTTGAAACCCACTGACTGTACGTACAGTCATCGTTCTCACTTTCACCAGGGGTTGGCGAACGAGGGCCAGGGGCCAGATCCAGCCCGTGTGTGTGTGGCGCAGCAACTAAGAATAGTTTTTATTCAATTTTAAAATGTAAAATGTAAACAAACAAAAACCTATTAACTTCTCCGGGCGTATAGTTATTCCGAGGGTTGAGAATATTGCGCCTTGGCCTGTAAAGCCTAAAATGTTGACAGTAGCATCTGGCTCATTACAGCAAAAGGTTTGTCCACCCCACCCATGATCTTATCTCCCCTAGGTTAATTTCTTTTTAAGCTTTGAGTTTCTTTAAAGGACCAGATAGGCCCTACTTTTACTATACTGTCATTTTTAGTAATATCAGTAGCTAACCCTTAGAGCAGAGTGTGTGCTGTTCCAGTCACTGGCCTAAGGACACTTTTTATATATCAACTAATATGCTTTTTTCAAAACCCTATAAACCAGGCGCTTTTCTTATCCCCATTGTTCAGACAAAATTGAACCATAAATCGCTTAAAGCTTTTGGATGCCTATTGCCACAAGACAGTATATTCTGTATCTTTTTTGGGAGGATTAGGAATTAGAAAATTTGCAAATTGCTTTCGGAATTCTATAGATCTCTTCCTTAGTGCATCTGTCAGTGTACGTGCGCGTGTATCTCCTGTCATTCAACATTTCTCATGTAATGCCCACTTTGTGTAGAACACTTTTCAGATCCTAGCACTGTGGAGCTCGCCAAGGTGGATTCTTATTCTGTAGGAGTTTTCTCTTGGACAATTTATACAGACCTGTGGCAGTTGATACCAAAGAGTAAAGAGCATTGATTATTTTTCTGGTTATCTTCCAGTGTCTGAATGGGACCCTTGGTTTTAGCCTTAAGGTTGTTTTATAGAAGTTGGTCCTAAGGGTATGTGTGTGTGTGTGTGTGTGTGTGTGTGTGTGAATACACATGTATATGTAGTAAGGTTATTGAGAAGGAAGTTCATGTTGCTGGTTTGTTTTTTTCTTCTGGGCAAGTGATTATTTAAATGTTTACATAACATCTTGTTACTTTTCTCCAGTTAGCTAAGTATACAAACATTTGAAGGAGCTCCTGGGAGTTGTTTTGTTTTGGTTTTGATATGGAGGTTGGAAACTGGATGTTTCATCTAGTAATCACCCTGTTATTAAAAGTTTTGACTTGCTTAAGAAACTGTCACCAATAGAGAGTGCTGTATGTTTGGTTAAAAGATGGATGGATTTTTGGCCTGTGTCTTATAAACTGGGCAGCAGTTTGCGGACCGTTTCATTATGTGTAGCATATCTTTTGTGTTACAGGCTTGCTAATGTGTGGTTCTGTTTTTAACCATGGCAACTAGAATGTTGATCAATTATCCTGTCAGGATTTTGCTCTTTCTTTCTTTCTTTCTTTCTTTCTTTCTTTCTTTCTTTCTTTCTTTCTTTCTTTCTTTTCTTGTGGTACTGGGGATTGAACCCAGCACCTTTGCACTGAGTTATATTCCTAGCTGGCTCTTTTTATTTAATTATATTTTTTATTTTAAAGAGAATTGACAAAAAAAGAACAATAGCAAAATGCCAACAACATAGACAAAAACAAAACAAAGCAAAAACAGTAAGAACGATACAGGGTTTCAGAGCCAAAATGATAAAGATTAACAGTGGTTGTTATTGGAGCACAATCAGTGCTGCAGTAGATATGAATTTACAATGAACTTCCTGAGTTTTTCCACTTAGAACTGTCTTTGCTCTCTTGAACTACAGAAAAATCTCACTGGAATTGCTGTTGTTTGAAAGGGCAGCCCTCATGTTGTATTTTCTTCTTGTTTGTTTATGCAACATAGGGCATCACATCCAGGGGCACTTTAACACTGTGCTACATCTCCAGCCTTTTTTATTTTTTTTGAATTATTTTTTTTTTAAGTCATGCAAGCTGACCTCCAATTTGTAATCCTCTTGCTTCTGCCTCCAAGTAGCTGGGATATAAATCTTGATTGTGTTGCAGTTCAGCACATTCACCTACGAGATGATAGGAATATATTTTTACCTTCATCGAAGTTGGTCAGATTACCAGATGTAAGAATGCAAGATTAATCAAACCATTAAGGAGAATAAAAAATAAAAACAAAAAAATTATAAACGATACAGTTTCACCAAATGAGATGATAGGAATTCAACAATGGTTGTTATGTTGCATATATGTGTCTTCAAAGTAGTTGTTCAGATTACCAGATATAAGCATGCAAAATTGGTCAAATAAATAAATAAGTAAATAAAGCATTAACTATTCCTTTCAATAAACCAGCAGACATCAGCAGTACAGTTATCCCAGGCATCCTTTTGTATGTGTATATATATATATCTTCCCCTCCTTTCTTGTCTGCTTATTTTTATTTTTTTAAATTTTGAGACAGAGTCTGCCTAAGTCACAAAGTTACCTAGGCTAGGTTTGAATTTTCAGTCCTCCTACTTCAGCCTCTCAGAGTGCTGGGATTACAGGTATGTACCTCTACACCTTGGCTTTGCTTTTACTTTTTACATAATCATTCAGTAATGAAATTCTGTCATCAAATTTGGCAGATATTAGAGGTGTTTATGAATGACATCCTCAATGTGTTGAAGGAAAAATTTGAAAAACAAGCATATTGCTTTGTGGCTTTTAGATTCTAGAGCTGCACAGGTAGTTGTTTCTTTGCAGTGTGTATGAGTAGTGGTGACATACACCTGTAATCCCACCTACTTGGAGGCAGAAGCAAGAGGATTACAAATTGGAGGTCAGCTTGCATGACTTAGAGACATTATTTCAAAAAAATAAAAAAGGCTGGAGATGTAGCCCAGTGTTAAAGTGCCCCTGGATGTGATGCCCTGTGGTACATAAACAAACAAGAAGAAAATACAACATGAGGGCTGCCCTTTCAAACAACAGCAATTCCAGTGAGATTTTTCTGTAGTTCAAGAGAGCAAAGACAGTTCTAAGTAGAAAAACTCAGGAAGTTCAATGTAAATTCATATCTACTCAATATTAATGTTAATAAAGATGACTTTTCTCACTTAACCAGTCATGTTTTTCTGACACACACTGCATAAATCCTTTTTTTTTATTTTAAAAATAAAAGGAGGAAAACATTAACAGGCAGACAACCTTTTACAAAATAGCAAAAGAACAGTACAGACTATACAGAGTTACAAACAAAGTGGTAGGAAATTAACAATGTTTGTTGTATTTATTACATATTGATATCTTCAAAGTGGTTTCTCATGAAAACAGATAGAGACATGCAATATTGATCAATAAAGGACTTATTGACAGTTTCTTTCAGCAAAGAAATAGAAGACAGTAGAACAACTATGTTAACTATCCTGTATATACATACATACAAAATTTGTCCTTTTTTCCCTTCTCTTTTCCCACATCCCAGTTGCCCTTTACCCTTGAGTACTTTCCTATAATTTCACAGTGTCTATCATACCTCCTAGTTTAAATTAACTCTTTCAGGTTTTACACTAGTGAAACAATGTGGTGCTTGCACATGCAGGTCTGATTTATTTCACTTATGAGTATGGTCTCTAGTTGTGACCATGTACCTATAAAGGCCTCGAGTTTATCTTTCTTTATAGCTGAGTAATATTCCATTATATAAAAGTACCACAATTTTCTTATCCAGTCCTCAGTGGATGGACATTTGGGTTGCTTTCACAATTTAGCAATTACAAATTGTGCTGCTATGAACATAGGTGCACATATATCACTGTGATATGATGTTTTTAGATCTTCTGGGAAGATACCCAGCAGGGGAATAGCTGTGTTGAATGGGACCTCTAGACCTAGTTTTCTGAGGAATCTCCAAACTGATTTCAACCTGGTTTCACCAGTCTGCATTCCCACCAGCAGTGGAGAAGGGTTCCTATTTCTCCACAACCTCGCCAGCATTTGTTATTGGTTGATTTCTTAATGCTAGCCATTCTTACTGGGGTAAGGTGGAATCTCAATGTTGTTTTAATTTGCATTTCTCGAATGACTAATGATGTTGAACATTTTCTCATATATTTATTTGCCGTTTGTATCTCCTTGTCTGAGAAGTGTGTATTCATGTCCGCTGCCCATTTTTGGATTGGATCTTTAAATTTGAGGGGGCTGATATTTTTTTTAATTCTTTTTATGTTCTATATAGAAGCCCTTTGTCTGAGGGACAGTCCATTAAAAGTTTTTCCTAGTTTGTGGGTTTTCTCTTTACTCTGCTGGTGATTTCTTTAGATGTGCAGAAACTTTTCAGTAGGATGAGATCCCAGTTGTTGATTCTTTCAAGTGGTTCATATGCAATTTGGTTTTTGTCATAAATCTTGATTGTGCTGCAATTCAGTATGTACAGTGGTCTTGGTAGTAAAACATTAAAAAAAATTTTTTTTTGAGACAGAGTTTCACTATGCAGGTCAAGCTGGCCTTCACCTCACTTTGTAGACCAGGCTAGCCTTGAACTCACAGTGATGCTCTTGCCTCAGCCTCCTGAGTGCTGGGATTACAGTGTGTGCCACCTCCCCAGCCAGTAGTAAAACATTTTTTTGTTGTTGTTGTGTTTTTTCCAGTACCAGGAATTGAACTCATGACCTTGCGCTTGCCAGGCAGGCGCTGTACCGCTGATCTAAATCCCCAGTCCCAGTAGTAAAACATTTTAACAGTGAGAATGTCATTATGTCTTTATAGTGGCAGGAAAACACAGCAAAGAAGCTCATCACATACAGAGAGCAAAACATAGTGAAATTCAATCTTTGTTACCAACATTCCTTTTTAAAGTATA